CTGAATCATAAAGCAACTATTAGCTCAGTCAGAATCAGGGTTCTTGGCTAATCTAGGCCATGTAACTGGTCTTGAAATGCGTAAAAGACTGCTGTGAAACCAAAGGAACAGTGTGTTTTGCCTGTCCAGGACAGTGCAATACTGGAATGTCTTGTCCGTGAGACTGTGATGCCTTCATCCCTACAGGTTTTACAGAACAAGTTGGACAATCAGCAGCAAGGAATAGTTTGCATGTATTTGGGACAGCCTTGGACCCAGGGAAGGAATGAACAGCCAGATGACCTCATGAGAACATTTGTCCTGTTGTTCTTCTCTGATACTGTGGAATTATTACTTCGCTCTTGTTTTTCTCCTCTTGCCACTCTCCCAGATGCTCTCAGATGTGCCTTTGTGCAAGTTTTCTCAGGAGGGATACCTCTACTGAGTGGGACCTTTGCACTTTACTGTTATATTGAGAGTAACATTTAGGTAGGTATCTTCTGAACACCAAAACACGCCTGAAAATTCAGTGACATGTTTTGAATATCTTCTGAAGCATAGTGCATATGTTGTATGATTTGTTCCTAAGTAGAATAATTCTGTTTCAAGTCATCCAGCAGGGAAATCTTGAAGGGCCCATTCATTCCCATTCTGATCTCCTCTGGACCTGCTTGGTCAGGGGAAAGCCAATCCAGCATTGAGATGTATGAGCATGTGTGTTTGAAATTTCTGTCCAGTGCACAGTCAGATACCAGAGATCATATAGCAGCTGCCATGCCTACCTGACTAAAAAGAATGCCTCTTTCGTCTCGCATGCAGACCCTTAATTTCTGATTGAAGACATACTGTCAGCAGCAATAGGATACCACAGTGTTATACCTATCATGAGCTGTGGAATGAATCCACAAAACTCTCCAGGCTCACTAAGCATCCTCATTTATTGGAACCATTGAGACTATGCACATGCTCATAGCTAGGCATATGCTCAAGTGTTTTGCTGGAGGTAGGAGGGGGTAAAAATAATTCCCCAATATTTCCAACTTCACAACTCTCATAAGCATCAGTTTATTTAACAAAAATTAGGTGTGGAGCAAAGCAGCTTTGGTAGCATATACCACAGCAGTACTTATGTTGCAATTCTGCTATTGCAACAGGTGATCTAGTTTGTTAAGACCACGGGGTCAATAACTAAATTTACAAAAAAGCCAGCTGCTTAGTGATTGTTTATTTAATGTGCCAAGTGCTACTACTTTGGCCAAAATTGATCCTCTGAAACACTGTCTTCCAAAGCTTACCAATAACAGCCTTCTTCTTCTAAAAGATAAAATAAACATGCAAAGAATGTTTTTAGAACACTGATCTTACTTAAACACCTCTAGTTCTGGAAAAAGAGTAAGTTTCAAGTCCTGTGTGCAAGTTATTCAGTCAATGCAAGCACGAAAAATCAGCCATTGTCTAGGATGGCCATCTATTCCATTTTTAAGTTCCCTATAATTTAAGCCAAATGACATATGCAATGCATGTCTATCTTCCTTGAATGTGCTTTTGAACCTTGATGAGAATAGGCTGGCATTATAATTTGTACTGTAGTGTTGGTCCGAGGCTTAGAACAAATTAATTATAATGGGTTCAAAGTCCTTCAGGTATGTTTAAGGGATTGTTCTGACTATATTTATGTAGTTAAGCACAGATGTACTTGTGCCTATATTTAAAGAAAACCATGCTGCACATTACCTATATTTTGGTAGTTTAAAATGTATTATTAATGCATTTTTGTGAAATCATATGTCAGCAGTAAGATGAACACTTGGTAAAAGACATCCAGGAATTATATTTGGAAAAGAAGCGGGATCCAATGTGCACCAGGGAAAAATTCCTTGTCATTTGGACAAAGGAAAGTGTATCTCTCTTCTATTGCATAGTCCATCCCCAATGTACAGTCTGCTGCTGTGTAGCTCCACCAGGGAGGTAGAGAGGCAGCAAATCTCATTCCTTGCTGCCTTTGTCCTGAGTAGCCTGAACTCATTAGGTTTTGGCAAAAAAAAGTGTGTCTAGTGGTCCCACAGAGGCCCACCAGCTTTTCAGAACAGTTGTGCTGTAGCATGTGAACCTCATGATGTGCCCAAGGGATACCAAAGGAAGAAGGACTTCCTCTTGCTTGGACTGTCCTTATGATCCGACAGAATTGGATGCAGTGCCCTTTAACAGCAATGGGAAGACTTTGCTTGGCTTTGGTTCTAGGGTTGATCTAGGAAACAACTTGAGTTGGATGCAATATAAAAGTGAAGAAAGGTAGAACTGATGATAAATTAATTAATTTTAAAATTTCTTCAAACAAAAGTAATAAATGGCCTTAAAACATCCTCAAACTAGCAAGTGTCAGACTCAGTCTTTAATTTAGGACACAGTTGGGCTGTTACTTGGGTTAGCAGTGCAGAGAGCCAAATAAAGTGTGACCCATATTTAGTACAGTAGAGCTCATATTGAAAAATTTGCAGTTTTGCCAGATAAATTCCTTCATAGGTATTTAAAGGAACTTTTTCTGAGTATTGAGAATCAAAGTCTTACTGTGATAGAAGAAAAAAACATAGAAAAAGGAGGCTCTGTCTGAAATACCTTCTCTTTTTTCCCTTGTAAAGTTCAGCTATGTAATGCTGTTGGATTGCAATTACATAGAGTTGCCTCAGTGATAAAATTACATAACACCTTTACTTTCTCCTGTCTCCATGACATTTTGCACTCAATAACACAGTCACCATCTTGATGTGTTAGTGAGTTTGTGGTAAGAAATTTATTTATTTATTTTTTTAACAAAAGTAAAGAAACCTCTCTTATTTGAAAAGTAGATTTTTTTTTTCCATATGTAATATGCTAGAAACATTTCTGTGTGATTTATTTATTTCACCCACAGTATAGTTAAACTTCCCACTGTTTGGCCATATTTCACCAAATGTTAGATTATGAGATAGGTTTTTACAGGAGTAACTTAGAGTCTGAATGCAAATTATACAATAAAAATATGTTTTGATTCTTACTTTTACATCATGAGGCTCAGGTGTTTGTGCAAACTAGAGCCTTCTAAATACATTTGCATTCTTTACAGTCAGTTTCTAAGTTCAGGGTTATTCTTTTCCATTACAGTGTCTGATGTCAAACGTGAACTAAACCCAGGTACACAACCCTGAACTCTTTTTCCTTTTGTCAAATGAGCAGAATATTGCCAGAAGTTGTAATGGAGGAAAAAAAAGCATGACCTAAACCTGGGAAACATCAAGCCAGAGTGAAGAAGAATAAAACTTTTAGCAGGGATCTCAGTTTAAACAATCTGTGGAGGTCACTCACTACCACACTCTACTTCTTCCAAAGATGTAACAGGCAAAGAAACGGAAAAGAAAAAAAAGGTGTTTCACCTCTCCTACTTGATGGTTCCCCCCTTAATTACTTTTGAGAATTCTACCCCCTTGAGACTTTTCCAGCTCCCAAGACAGTGCAACTGTGCACCTTCTACTCAGACCAGCTGTGATTGAGAACATAGGTCCATGCAGGAGAGCCACAACTTCATGTAATTCACCTTTCTCCTCCCTACAATGCATAGCCAACCTTGTATTTTTCAATATTCACCTGCTGCCAGGCCCCTTTTAATAAATCTGCAAGACTTGTTTAATATCCTGGAACCAGGATGGAAAACACCATGTCCTTCATGACAACTGTTTCAGCTTTAAATTGTTTCCAGGTGGTATGCTCCTTCAGCAGGCATGACGACTCCTTCTGCCAAGCTCTGCCTCTGTGGCGAGGATGCCCTCTTCATGTGCAGCATTCCCTCTTACTTCTGTTCACTCAGCTGAGGGACTGATCAATAATTAACCTGGAAGGTCTTTTCTCATGTCCTGTGTTTCCCATGGCTTTCTAAACATCTTGTGCTGAGGTTTATTTTGTCCACTGAATATGTTCCTTTAATATCACTTTGGAGTGCTAATTAGAGAAGATTCCTTGCTTAGCCTATGGTCATGACCAGCCACAAAAGATGTCCTGCAACACATTTTACAGAGGAATTCTCCCTTCCCTCTGTTGACAGGAAGGTGAAATGACTAGTGTGGTAAGGAACTGAGAGCCCTCTCCATGGGGTGGCAGATGGAAGACGTGTGCTCTTGACATGGGCAGGAGACACTGCCACTGGAAATATGATGATTGAAGTTCATGACGGATATTCCTGCACAACGGCACAATCCTCTTTCTTTGGAGCATGGTGAGGCAAAACGAACCTTGCTCAAAGACAAGTGCTCTTCTCTAAGTCAAAACACAAACTGAAAAGCTGAGGACCAGGCAAGGGTATGTAAGATGACTCACTGTGAGAGGCTGTACCCTTAATCTAGATGACTCAGTCCTTGGAGTGCTAGAAGGACTTGTTTCTTCCAGAAATCTGTGGAGCAGTAGTCATAATGGTGAAGATACACTGATGACATCTTGCCAGTTCAGAGCTGCAGTTCCTGCAGAGGTGCCTGGGTGACAGACAGCACTTGCACTCTTCTAGGTAAGAGCTGGTGTGCCTTTTCTTCTTTCCCTCATGCTGGCTCCCCGCTAAAATTATCTTGCTTACACTTCTTCCCGTATAAAATGACTTATGTTGTCTCCTGTTTCAGACAAGCCAAGTCTAAGCAGCAGAGAGCCTGTGAAAAGTTGTTGTAATTCATGCCAGGGCCATCAAGGGACATTTCTGGACATCTTTGTGAACTCATTTATGGATTCTATGACCAGCTGTTTGTCAGGAATGATGGGGCTGTGCACTTAGAAACACCAGTCCCCTGTAAAGGAACGTAGTGTCCCATCTTGCATTCCTGATGGTGACAATGCCAGGTCTGAGCAGGGCCTGCAGACCGCATCAGCAGTCCTGGCAGATGAGGGACATCCGCAGTGCAGAAATGCTTATCCTGGGCTACAGCTGTGTCATCACAAAGCTGGAATGTACAGTATACGCTTTCCACGGGCATAGCTCTGAGCACAGAAATGTGTATACCATCAACGGCACCTGCCCCTCTATGGAGCAGTTCAGCTGTTGTGATAGCTGATGAGCTAAATTTAAGGTTTGCACATGCTTGCTTCAATTTAATACCTTCCAAGGGGAGCTCACAGGGAAAAAAAAAACCCAAAAAACAAAGCAGCTTCAGGATCTACATTTATGCAGAGTTTTAAAATATTTTTCCTCTTTTATGTTTATACTTAGCTGGATTTGAAGTCCAACTGGTTTTTTATAGCAAAAATCCTGGTATATTATGTATGATTCCATTTATTACAATACATAATATGTGTGAAAATAAAGCTGCAAGTTTTACATGATACTACTAGTAGTATTCCCTTAGAATTTCTTGCCTTATTCTCAGATATATTATCAAACTTTTATTTTTCAAGACATCCAAAATTACCAGGGAGCACATTTGATCTTTCTGTAAGCTAAGGAATCCAATACAGCAGTTTTCACTAGATTTAATTCCTTTAACATTTCCTAAGAGTATAAAAAATAATGCAATGACCACATCTTTGGAAAGATATTCAAAGCATTAGAAGCATATGCTAAATATGGTTTGTTAATCATTCAGGGAATTGCGATACTGCATAAAACAAACGCTTTTATCCTGAATCTGTGCCAAAAAGCCTCTTTAAAATTATTCTCCTACTCTGGCAAAGCATAGCAAATCATTCCACCAGAGACATTTCATGAGTATTTGAGTACTGGTAGCAAAAAAAGGACTTGAAGAAACCTTAAAGTCACAATACCAATATTATTTCATAAATTGCAATCTCCTTAGTCAAATATGTGACTGCGTGTGATGTAACTCTTTGTCAGCAATATAAACCTGAGCATTAGTAATGCAATAAAGTCATCTTTGGGACTAAAATTAAACCTAAAGTCATGTTGCCATATTTTCATGTGTCCCTCTGTCTGGTGTTATCAGAAGTGAGATTACCCTCCATGCATCCAAGAGTGAGTTCATTCAGGTCAGCTTATGTATTCCAGGAGCCTCTTCATGCAGAGATAAACTTTGAATAATCACCTATCTTTAAGTATTATGATAGGCAAAGCCTAAAAATTGAAAAACTGAAACTGCCAAATTTGAAACATCAATCAAGAAAATCCCTTAGTCACACATCAATTGAATCTTTACTTCCAAGAGCTAAAAAAGGGAAAAATACAGAAAGGTAGACATATCTGTACTATGTTTTGTGAAAACAAATGTTTGCAACCACTAAACACTGCCCTGGGGCTATAGTAAACAAGCAATGATAAGGATGGTGCCACACTGACTAGCTAGTGTACCGTAGGAGGTATTGTATATCAACAGCCTGGCAGTGTCAAAGCCAAGTTAGAGTAGCAGGAATTTAGCACTTCACAAACTCGTGACCCCAAAAAGGGCATGGTTGGATTCTAAGCAAGGAGGACGAGGGTGGCAACCTCCCCTGTGCCTGGAGACCATTCTCTGCTTGGTGTGAGAGATATCATTTGTGTTGTGATAGTATCTGACTGGTACATTGGCCTTTTCTTTTTTGAGCTGAGTAGCTATGTGTCTTCTCTTTCACTTGATTTAGAAAGACTTAATGTGAATTTTTATCTCCCTGCTTAGAAATTCTTGTGAATATATTTATCTGCTATAGACAACAACCTTTGATTAGCTGTAAGTAAACACTTGCATTCTTTTACACAAACTGAGTGCCCTTCTTGCATAATTGCTCAGCACACTGTGGAATAATTTACTCTTTAACACAAGTTATATGATAAGTCCTAACAGTATTCTCGTTAACGCACAGATGAATTCCTGTTGAACCTGGCATGAGTGCAACTGAGATGTTCATCAAATTCATTAATATAACTGTGGTTCTGCACATCATACTCTACATTTCTGAAAGTGAGGCTTTGGCATGACATTTCAAATTACCTGTTCTGATGTTTAAGTTCTTTGAATGACTTAAAAGTATTGCAATTGCAGTTGAAAGAGAGAGTTTTCATACATTTGATGCCTTAACAACAAGATAATCCTGTATCAGGGCCCAGTGTGAACTTTCCAAAGGACTATTTTCAGTTTTGTATTACTTATACTTTTGTAGCAATCATAGGGGAATGATTTAAGACAGGCAAGTGTGAAGCAGAGGAGTTATGTGCCAGCTATTATCAGTTGTGCAGAACTCAGACTTCTTAGTCCTACAAACCCTCTTTGTTTTTTAAAATCTTACTTGCAGTCATAAATTTCATGCATTTGATTTAATTAATATTGCACAGGATCTAAAAGTAGGTTAAATTAGATATTGACAAGTTTCTCAGCTCAGTCTTTTCTTGTTTACTGTTTGAGATAATAGGAAAGTACTGTATTTGTCTTTGACAGCCAAAAACAATGGTCACTGAAGACACTAGCTATCAACTACAATTCAACACTTAATGTCAGGTAAATATTAATGACAATGTTTTCCTTTCCATTTCCCTTTTTGCTCCCTCTCTTTCCAGGAATACAGTGTTCCCATGTACAACTCTCCCTTTACTCTTTCACAGTATTCAGAATTGTACTGCATGTACCAAACATTTCAGACATGGAAAACTAAACTGTTAATTGGTCACATTAATATATGCAATTTCATGCATCTGTCATATGAAAAAATAAAAAAGTCCCAGGAACTAACCAAGAACTATCCCAAAAAGCAGCACTGAAAATGCAAAGAAAAAAAACCAAAGCAATGCCTCTAAAATGCAATCTGCAGCATACCCCCTTGTTTGGTTCTGCGGTGAGTTCTGGGCCAGCATGTAAGGGAACACATTTAGTACTCTTCTTGTGAAAGAGGATCTCAGTTCCTGGCAGGGGAGGAGGCACAGCGATATCCACTGAGTCTCCTGTGGCATTTCTGAGAAATGTCTGCAAGCACAGCCTATGCTCTGAGGGCAAACACTACCTCCAGGGCAGGACTCTCCTCTGCAGCCTGCAAAAAGACCTGACAGCCAGAGACAGACATTCTGTCTTGTAGATAAACGTTAAGGGAGAGCAGGACAGAGAAGAGCAGGGCCAAAATAACCAAAGGCTAAAAAAACTCCACTGCAAATTGACTACTGAGAATATGTCAAGATTCAGGATTTCCTGGAGTGTTTATTTAAGTACAGTTCTGGCTCAGTAGAAGCAGTGATCTGTACCATGCAGCTTGATTATTGTATTGCTATGCTGCATGACAATGTACTGTAGAATAAATACAGTAATAGAATGGAGAAAGATAGAAGATGATGGAAAAAAACAAGTTAATATGCTGTAAAGCTTCTAAAAGACTTAAATAAAAGACTCTCATTGGAGTCAAAGTAAGTCTCTTCTCCTCTAGAAAGAAGGTAAATAGCATAGAACAGTGAAGCAAAAAGTTATTTCCTCCAGTGAAATTTAACCAAATCAAATCAGTCCTGCACTTTTCCTTTTAATATATAAAAAACTTACTTTTATATTTTATTTTTATATATGATATTTTTATTTATTTCATGTTGTCGTTGCAGACCTTGAAATTCCTAATGCATTTTTATTTAATGCTGTTTGAGATTGGAATTTTTTTGCCCCAAGGTGCGGAGCGCGTGGGACACTGGTGTTTGGTCAGAGCAGCATTAACTCACTCTTGCCAAAAAAGAGTTTTGTGAAATTTCAGTTTATTGCTTCACTTTGGATGTGGGCCATGACTGCACAAACCTGTCACCTCATGTGACCCAAACAGGACATGGATTGTCCTCATATTGTCACCTGCTTAGAGAAAGACTTTTTTGTAGAAGCAGGCCAAAGAACATATTTACCTGCTGTAGCTTCTCTGAGTATTTTGCTGTGAAAAAAGTTCGACTTATTTATCCTAATAATATCTCTGAGGTTAATTCATATGGATGATGTCTTTCTTTGCTTGGCAAAGTAAATTTGGCTTAAAATAAACAGAATTATAACCATGGAAAAAAAACCCCAAACAGCTTCATATATAATCTAGTTCTAAAAAAATCTTTCTAACAAAGAGAAGACTATGCTGGTACCTATAACTGCAAATGTAAACTTGGGTGGTGTCAGGAAAAAAAAAAAAAAAAAATCCATTTTCTGCAATACAAACAAAAATAACAAGACTGATTTAAAGAAATTAATCTTTAGCAAGCCTTTTGAGCAGTCCCTATTGTTGAAGAGTCTAACAATGCTAAAATCAGGATTTGCTGTTAGTTTTCCATAAACCTTCCCCATTTGTTTTCCATAAATTTGAATTTCTTGCGATTTTCATATCTTTAATATTTGTAGATATAAGAGGGAGTGTGAATCCATTTTTACAGAAAACAAATAAAACTGAGTAGACTTCCAGAGAAGTCTTGTTGGTTTTTTGTTTGTTTCATTTTGTTTTTACTGAAAAGCAGTGGAAGAAATGACAGTGCAGGAAAACCTACAACATAACAAAGCCATAAAGTAATAGCATGAAAATTTCAAAATTAAGGCTTGTAACTGTGATTGTGCACTTGTGGGAACCAATATTAATGGCAGGCTTAAAGTATATATTTTCACACTGTCTTACACAATATCCCAAAAGCAAGCTAGTTAGTTATAGTCTGCTCAGAGCCGGAGGTGAGTGCAGAATTACTTGGACAATTGCAATTAATAGAAATGGAGTTTCTGGGAAAGAAAACAGTTGCTAAATGAAAGGAAAGATCAAGTGAAATTTCAGAGATATGTGTTGGCTTTTCTACTGTTGAGAGTTTTATCTATGATTTTAATGCTGGGATGAGACATTAATTCATTCACATTTCTAAGACCGCAGTTTGGGATGCTCCGACAAGCACCTTCTGTAGTTTTGTAGGTGTTGTGGTTTTAAAGTATTAGCTAAAAAAATCACTAGAAAACTTACTTATTTCTTGCTGTGAGATATGGATTAGAACAAGAGCAAAACAGGCTTGAAACTTAAAAGGAACAAAGAAAGTTTATTAACAAGAGCTACAAGGATAAGAAACCAGAATAATACTTCCAGGAACCTTTTTTCCCCACTACCCAACCATTCCCTTGTTCACATGACAACACAGAGACAAAAAAACCCTGGTGGTTAAAACAGTCTCAATTTTGCTATAGTCTTTTTATCAGTCTTTGTAGAGAAAAAGAAGTTATCTTCTGCCAATATATGCAGTTTTCCACAAGAAAACCATTTTCTTAATGGCTTTCTATTTCTCTGATGCCAGCTGCCCAGAAATTCTTCCATTAGTTCTCTCCTTCCATTTCACATCACTCTGAGGTATGTATGGGTCAATGAGTCTAGGGATGTCATTTTTAAGGATGAGTTATTCAAAGGCAAAAGTTCTCTTCATCTGTTTTTGTGAGCCTCTCTGGAAACAGAAGTTTTCTCCTTACCTCTTAAAGGCTACCAGTCTTCAACTATTACTTCTCTTTTTCTCTTCCAGCATCTCATAGGATCACAACTACTTCCCCATTTACTTAAATCTACACTTTATAATACTCTATTCCTCCCAAAATACTATTTCATGAATTAAAGGAGTTTTTAAGAACACTATTGTCCATTTCCATAGTTTTAGCAAAAGAATATTTCAGCTTATTAAAGCATCTTATTTCTCTTCCCCCTCTGAAGCTTAATTCCTTTCTTCACTGTCTTTGATAGTTTATATTGTCTCTTTACATGCTGATCACTCTCTCTCTTCCCCTCTCTCTGGAAAAAAAGGATTGATTTGCAAGTCTCATCTGGGAAATGAAAGGGTTAAGATCTTGTGGCTGGTTCTGTGATCTCTGCCGGAGCGGTGGCTGGAGCTGTCTGTGATGGAAGATTTTTTTCACGGCTGCTCTGGAGGAGTGTGGCCACTGTCTCAGCACGCTGCAGGTCAGTGCCTTTCTCTCTCTTTACTCGGCAGTCTCTGGTGAAATTCAGCAGCGGCAGAACCTGCAGCTGAGCCAGGGAACCGGCCTGGCCCGGCAGCCCCACTGCACAAGGCCCAGCGAGCCCTCCAAGAAGGGGCTCCTGACACTTCACAGTCTCCATCCTCCCCAGGAACCCCAGAGCTCCGGCCAGCCCTGCTTCCCCCCGCGGCCTTGTCCGGCCTGGCGGGGGGAGGTGGCTGAACCAGAGCCCTGTTACCTCTTCAAAAGCCAGAAACCAAAGAGAGCAAGGAATTTCTGGGCTTAGCTCTTAAGGTGGTGTTCACAGGTTGATCTCACTTTTCAATGGTCAAAACCACTGACAATTCTCAGAAATGGCCAGTTATTGGCCAGGAGAAAAATTCCCATCAGCCTCCAGCAGTTTCAACTTCCTTAGCTCTCAAAGCCAGTCTTAAAGATGCAGAGCTTAATATATAACATAAACCAGGTGATTTCGGATACCAGTAGCATAAAGTCACCCCAGGACAGCAGGCTGAATTAAAAAATGCATGGACTCATACAGGAACCTAATGGAGAGAATTCTGGATCATCAAAAAACCCCATGGAAACCAGAAAATGACAGAATGACAGAATGACACATTTGGATTAGGGTAATCTGGAGAGGAGGTTGATATTAAGCATGAAAAACACAAGGGATGTTTAGGTTAGTAGGTTGGAAGAAAAATTTATTAGTGGAACATTACAATATGAAAACTGTATTCCTGTAGGTCATTTGGGAACATATCAGATAAACACGAGTTAGAAATTCATTTGTATATCTGGTGCTGCTTTTCGTATAAGGCTTCTGATGCTTCTTTATTATTATTATTATTATTATTATTTTAAACAATTGAGGTTTTTTTAAACATTTTGATGAAAGATGACCTTAGGGAAGGAAACATTTTATTTTTATGCTGTAAACATATTTACCTTTTTATTTGCAATAACTGGAATTGGACTCTGGAAAATCAATGGATTTAGAAATAGTATGAATAATATATGAAGGACTTGAACAAAAATGTGGCTTCCATTGCAGAAGGGGTCCATTCTTGTAGCATCAGGGTCAAAAATCTGGTGCACTCGTGTCTCATGCAATGGTGCTATGGCTGTGACTTTAATTTTTATGGTCCTTCTGAAAACTGCAGTTGAGACATAGGACCTAACTAGGCATCAATCCTGCTGGGCCGACAGCCAAGCCTGGCATGTTTGTGCAAGACAAACAATGCAGTCAGGATGCCACAGACAGCTAGAAGAGATTAGAGAGCACATGAGCTCCTGGGTGTGTGTCAGTTCTCCCAGGACCACACATACTCTGCATGCATGCGAGCGTGCTCCTGTTTTATGTTTAGTTTTCAAAGTGAGTGCTTTGGTAGTCAAGGTGAAACAAGAATTACTAGAAAACATTCTATTCTCCTTTTCATAAAATATACCGTAAAATTGAGAGAAGACTGGTCAGAAACCTTCTTTGTACTTCTCACTACTTTTTCTCTCACTCCTTGTTGTAACGTCCTCAGCTTAATGGTTTGGAAAGTGGTAAAACCACAGAATGTCAACACTCAGTCAAAATCAAAGAACAGAAAAACTTACTGCATCCATTTGACCACACAGTTCAGATGGCAGGCTCTGAACAAATCTTGACCTCACTAGAGTATTTTACGAATCTCTCTTTAATGAGGTTGAGAATTTGCCCCTCTTAAGTGCAACTGCTTAAATATTTGATAAAGCAGTTTCAGTTGAGGACTAACACAGACTGTGTCATCTTGGAGCAACTGAATTAAAACCTTGTACTGCATATGCTATAAATGCAAATATTTTTAAATAAAGAGAAGCTATATTACTGACAAAGGCATCAACCACAGGCATGGTCCCTGGCTGAAATAAACTCTTGTGAATCTATTGATATTTAAGGGTCTAGCATCTTTTTACTAAATCTGTCTAAAAATGCTTATCACTGCTGTGTGGGTATCATTGCAAAAGGAATTCTTCAGTTGTACAATTTCAGGTTAAGTGATCTTAAGAAATTCATAAGACTCCTTTGAGAAGGCAACAGTACCTGTATCTGATGATTCCTACTTCCTGTATGTGTGTATCTATATGTGTCTATAAAAATCTGTGGACTCACCAGCCTGTGCACAGTACCCAGGGCTCTGAAGTCTCTGCCCAAATTGCTTCATGCAAATAATTTTAAAATGGTGTTCTAAATATCACCTTATTCTGATTTTAAATGTACTGTGAGTGCCAAGAAAAATATGGTTAAGGAAAAAATATACCTTTATTTACTATTTTTATACATTCTTAAAATAAGGAGTAATGTGTAACTCTGCAGAAACACTCTATAGATTGAGAAGTTTATTTGGTTTTTAGATCCATCTACATTTCAATTAAGAATTCATGAGAGGTGACTGACATTTAACCCCTTTGTTGTCCATGATGGCCAGCATATCTTGACCCAATTAGCTTTCTATCCTTTAAGAAGATTTTTCTCTATTCACCAGTGAAACAAACCTTTGGGATTTTTAAGTACATGACAAGTTTCAGTTTTAACTTCTCTGAGAGTGGCTGACACATGAGATCACCATAATTGTTTTAAAATGGATAAAGTAAACATGGATAGAAAGACACTACATAAATTATGAAATTTTATTTCTACTGAGTATCAAGGTGTTAAAATAAAAAATATACTGAAGTTTAAAAATAACATGTGGAACACAATATTTGAATAGCATGAAAAAGAATAAAGTAGCTGAGAAGCATAAAGAGAACACAATCCCAATTTCACCTTTTCTCCTGTGCTTATTTTTCACAGTGGCTGCAGTGCACAGAAACCACGTGTGTGGCATCTGCATGGGGGATGGCACTGACTTGCCCCATGACACATGCAGAAGAGAAGCACTGTCTGACTGGCACTGTCTACACTTGGCCCAGGATTCTCACCCAGGGAATAAACAAAAAGCGTCTTCGAGGCAGAGGGGAGAAGTCCCCAGCTGGCTTACAGGCCTGGGCAGATACCATGTAGTGCTGTCAAGCCCCCTCACAAAGCAGTGTCCTCTTTTTCTTCCCAAATCTCTGCCATCCTTTATCCTGTCCCAGATGTCCTTTCACAACTGCCCAGTCCCACCTGATTCATGTTTGTAATACTCTCAATTAAAAAATTAGTAATTAAAATGAAGCCCTCTTTTCCCATATTACTCCCAGCCATTACACTGCTCCATCTGCCCATTCCAGATCCCTTCTTGTTTTTAAAAGACTCATTAGCATGTGATCTTGTCTCTGCCAGGATTCCCCAGTGCCATCTGCTCCCTTCCTAGATGATCAGTCTCACTCAGATCACTGTTTACCGCACTTAAAAATATGACACATTTTCTAAGCACCGGTCTTGGAGGATGCTGTTGTGTTTCTCTACCAAAGTCAGTGGCTATCAGTCTCTTGCCACATTGATCCTTGTCCTTAGATGCCCTGATGCATTCCCAGAACTCTGGGGGTTTTGTGGTGGCAGCAGATCTGTGTCCCTTAGGCTATACAACCACATGCTGTGCTATAATTTGTTTAAGACATTTAGCACCTCCCCAAATTCAGCATCCTCTTTGTGGGAACAATTTGTGTCCATCTTAATTCTTGCAGCATAAAATTACTAAATTCATGTTGTATTGCTTTGAAGAGTTTTTAAAAAAAGATTTTTCATGCATTTCACCTATTGGTCCTCATGGTTATTTTCATGCATGTTATAAATAGAAGAAGTAAGCAGTGTAATGCTGAAAAATTCTTTTGGGAAAACAGCAGTAGTGTTTACCTCCATTATCTGAGAAATGTATTGTAGGAAGAACTGTTCTAGCATCTTTCCAGACGTTTGAGCCCAGGAGTGGGCTTAAATGGGTGACTGGTGATACTTCACTATAGGCCTATTCCATTGAGTAAAATGGGATCTGCCAAAGTTGTTCATGCCTGCCTACCTTCCCAGAAATGATCTGGGTCCTTTTTTCAGTAACTCAGACTTCCAAAATAATGCCTGGACATTCACTGAGATCCAAGAGTTTCATGTTCAGACATCTTAATAGCACATCAGTGTGTGAATGTCCTCCCATAGAGCCCACCACAAGCTCCACATTTTACATGGGACTGCACTAATCCTACTTTAGACCAGAAAAAATCCAGGAACATTGTAAGCCTCCTTCTTTAGGTTTATACCCCTAACACAAGGATGTAACTTCCAGTGCTAATTATCATGGAGTTGGCCCCTTTTAAGATCCTATTCTGCAATACTGGGAGAAAAACTTGCTCCAAATCATGTAAAATAGGCAACTAAATTTGAGATCAAGGAGTACAAACATGTACAAAGACTTAGAAAACTGTAAACACCTAAGTTTTTGCATAGATAACTGATGGTTATGAAATCTGTCACTGCAAACATGGTGGGTTGTTAAACCTGAAAATAGGCTTATTCACTGTAGTGGAGATTGCCCTTGATGGAATCTGAGAGTGAGGCAGGGACAACTTGTTCCCTATGATTTGTACATACACAGATTATTAATGGGTAAATGTTTTCAGGAACTATGTAAACTGAAAAAGCAGATTTTTAACTTGATAATTGAGTGTCTTCAATGCAGCGGTGTTTTGACAATATGCATAAATTTGCTGATGCTATCTGTGAAGAATTGCAATTGCTTTTAGCACAGATGAAAGCTAGGACCTGAACGATGCCCCCTCCTCTTCCCTGTCTGGACTTGATATACATATTTATTAGAAGTAACCCTCTTTCTTATTGGCATGTTTTTTTCCCTGTCCTTATCCTCCAACTTAAATTGATTTAAAAAGAAAAAGCATATGAAAATGAAAATTTCTATTATACTTTCAGAGAAAGAATTTATAGCCATACTCCCACATACAAACCAAACCCTCCCAATTTTTATCTAGTAAAAAGATCGTATTGTATAGAAGGAATATAGTAAGACTATGGCTTCAATGCAATCATATCAGAGGGACTGGGTGCACAAACACCTTCCCTTGCTTTCTCTTAGACTGCTGCAAAAATAGAAGAAATCGTAAGTGGTGATGGGGTTCTAACCTGTCTTTAAAACTATTCCCACATTTAAAATCACTTTTGCAAAAGTTTGGGAAACACTGCAAGACTGACAATGGCTTGTGCTGACCTAGAACCTGCAGGAACCCACTTTGCCAAAATTTCACTTCAGACAGTGATGATGAGTCTAGTTTCCTTGCTGCCCTTAATAAGCTTAGGCCATAAATTCTTTGTGTAGTGGCCCTCCTAGCACTCTATTCCTTGTTCCTGTTGCCAGATGTGATCCTGTGGTTCAAATAAACAAGCTCATTTTAGGGGATAACATCACATTAGGCAAGGTATGCCTTCTTTTCCAAACAGAACTTCCTACCTAGTTGTCTAACAAAGAGAGAAATCCAACATTTCTACTTTACTGAGAATTCTCCCACTGAGCCACCTAAATTGCAAACATATATATATATATATATATATATATATATATTACTACTTTAATAGCTAAGCAAAAATTACTGCAACATCAAGAACCTAAGCTTCCCCAAATTACCTAGAAACTTTTCCAAATTCCTATCACCATGAGAAAATAAAAAAATCAAATAAACCTGAAGCATATCAGTGTTATGAATGTAATTTTCCACCTAAATGAGACTGAAATTTTAGTATTACAAAAGTAAAAATCAGATACAAAAGAGCCCATTCTCATTGCATTGTACCTCTAATGTACTTTGAACACACCCGTTTCATGAATAACCAGTTACAGACACATAACATATAGAAATGTATTGCAAAAAGTTATTTGATTCCAGGTTTTAAATTTAATATAAACTCAAGAGAAGTGGTTTCTGTACATAAGCAATGACTCCTAATGAAAAAGACTGAGATGAAAGTGTGAGTCTTAGTGATCACATATATCTGGATATGTGAACTTGGCTCAACAATTTACTGTGATTCACTGGGTCTTTGTTTAATTCAGTTAGCATTGAATACTGATCATATGATATTTGCAACAGAACTGAGTTTTCTGGTTTCAGTGAATTTCTTCTGGTACTTTGCCTCCAAAACATACTTTAAGATTATCAGCATGATGTCACCCAATTCAGCATCTTGCCATAGCAATTTCTTTTCCTGAGTCATTATTCCCTGTCACAGCAGGTTTCACATCTGCGAATGGTCACTGTATTTTTTTTTTGGTCGCACTTTAATTGGTAGCATAGCTGCAGAAGTGGAAGGTTTATATACGAAGCCCTGCAGTTCACCCCAAATCAATGGTCACTGCTTTCTAGTCACCTACACTGAGCTGGGCTGTGCTGCTGACTTGCATTTTCTGCAGTATAATTGGATTTATTAGCTGTCATTAGTGTTTCCATGAATGACTTTGGTTTCACTTGTGAATTTCCTCCTCTAGACCAATTAGTTATCATCATTATCATTACATCACCATCTTCATCATTAAGATTTTTACCCCTATGAATTGAGGCAATTGCTATACCCTTAGATTTGGCCCCAGTAGCAGGTGTAAGTTGAGTGACATTTATTCTTGGGTGCTGCCATCTACTATGGTTTCTGGGGTGTTCTAGAAACTTCAAGTTGGCACTTGTATCCTAGCATGTCACTTTGAAAAGTGCTACTACCCGGAATTGTTACTGGACAGAAGGATGGGGTAGGCTGAAGTAAAAACAAGGAAAGATGATGCAGAAATTGCTTGTATATAAAGTAGTTTCTCACAAGTGATAGCCCTGTGATTTGACCTGTTTACTTCATATTTAAATTAAATGCCACCTTAACTTTACAACAACAACAAATTATTACAAATGGGAGAGCTCCCCTTTCCTGTCAGACTTTAATATTTGTATTACTATTTTGCAAAGATTTATAGGTAATGATACAGCATAACAGCATCTATTGAAGAAACATGAATCTAAACAGCATAACAGCATGGCTAATTACAAACCCTTCCTGTCATAATGTTTGGCCTACGTAATCACTGCTAAATACACACTATCAGTATTTTCTGATAGTAGTAGTTTCTTCAGAGTGAAAAAGGAGGAAATTATGGAAAAAATGTGATTTCTTTTGAAAAGACAGTGAGCTAACATTCAGAGGATATGATGTACAATGAAAGAAAGGTAGTAAATGCATAAGATCTCCTCATTGCCAGTTCCTCTCTGTGGTGACTAACTGTACCACGATTTACTGTGCAGCCTTCAACATGAAGGAGAAATTGAATTCATCACCTCCTCAGTACTATCGTAGTCATTCTAAGGTGTTTCAAATCAAGGGAGGAAAGTGATTCATTGGGATGCTGCTCAGTATGCCAAGGGAGTACATAAATACCTCCCTTAACCACAGAGGGAGTATTACCAAAACAAATAAAAAATCAGTAATACAGATGTGCTCAAAAGAAGGAAAAATACCTTTGAGGAATAATAAGACTTTGGCATATGCAGTTGATGTTTGAAGTCCAACATGTAAGTGTATGCAGGAAAAGTGTGTGTTAGTATACAGAAAATTTTGTGATAAAACCTCCTGAATTCTTCATAAGGACCTTTATATTGAATGGTAGACTTTGAAATCTTTTCAGAAAAAAAAAGGTTGACTCTTCAAATAAAGTTTTAAGGGTGATAACTTCATGATATGTTCTAATTCCATATTCATCTGAATGTACATCAAATGTACTGAAAATCCCTGAATTGAGGGGAATGGAGTCCTTCTGTGCAGCCACAGGAGATACACAAGAGGCTGTTGCATGTTGCTTGTCACTGTTCCTTGGTCTCTGCCAGCCAGACTGTTTCTAGGAAGGACAGATAATTCAATTTCTATAACCACCACACTCTGCAGGCAGGTATCCTGTGGTAATTGCCTCTGACTATTCCACCAGATTCAGGTGGTTCTTCAGCAAAAACACCATTGTATATATGTGCCAAGGGGACATTGCTGCATGGAGCCATGAGCAGATTATACCCCTGAATGTGGCCATTCTAAATGTAGATATGAGAAGGATGATTTCTTGTTTTCTGAACCCAAGTCTCACAAACCTGCAGCTGGGTTGTAGGTAAGGGTTAGCTCACAGTTAAAGGTTATGTATTCAAAAGCAGCACCTTCTCTCCTCAATTTGTGTTGATCTTGGTGAACAAAACAGGGGCGATAGAGCTGTTATTGCATGGGTTTTTTTTGGTTTCTCAGTGAAAGCCCCTAACAGCAAGCACAAGGGTCCTCTGGAGTAGCTACCTACCTGTCTGCCAGCTTATCCTCATTTGTGGGAAACTAATTGGTCTGACAGTGCGCTTGTAGAATGAAAAACTTTTTTTTTTTTTTCAGAGGATGAATGTTATTATCCTATTATCATACTGAAATGGATGTGAATGTACACAATAAATATTCCCATTCCTTAGCCTGAAGGTATGACTGGATAAAAAGGCAGTCCAAAAATGCCTTTGGGAAAGGTAGGGTCAGTACAAGGTTAAGTGAGGAGAGAAAAACTCCAAAGAGGTAGAAGGAGGATGGCTGAAGCCTACATATGGCTTTACGTTCAGCTAATTTTCTTGGTAAATGATTGTATTGTATCCTTTCATAGTCACACTCTCTGCACTGCCTGGTTCTATGCCTGTGTAAGGCTCATGTTCCAATGCAGTTATGTGTACATTAATGACAGACCCATCTTGAGTAAGAGATCTGCTGTTTCTGGGAGACTTGGATAAAAAAGCACAT